AAGCACAGAAATTTATTATTTATTGTTGTGTAGGGCAAGAGGCAAACACAGGTCAAGATGAGTATATAATTTCATACCTGACTATCAAGGCAAGGGAATGACACCTGGAGGAGCAGATTTGGAGGCTATGACACTAAGCTTCCATGCTGGTTATCTTTCTGAAACTTGAGGGCCATTTGAAATATACATCCCCTCTTGTGCTCAAAAAAACAGTCGTTGCTTTAGGAAGCACTTGTTTGGAGATTTCTTAGAAGGGGAGTTAGATAAAGAATGATATAAGGTGTCCGACAGTATTTATATTGGGTAAGTGTACCAGGAGAGGTATCAGAAAAGGAGAGAGAGATGGAACAGTGCAGAAAAGCAGATAATCAGCACTGGACTAACATGAAAAGAAATCAGATACCTAGACACAGTTGGAAAAGGCGACAGTGGATTCATAAAGAGCACAGTTAGAGTTCATCTTCAGCTTTTGTTCCTGACTTGATAGAAATTCTGACAGTGGCAGAGGCCCCGTGACACAACCCGTTCTGCCTAATTGCCTGCACTGTGCTTTGAGCTATTCTGTGGGATGATGGCCAAATCTCCTCCTTCCCTTCCGTCAACCCCAAGAAAGCACCTGCTGCTCCCCTTAGCCTCTCGAAGAGTGTCCCCATAAGCAAGGAAGAGGGACTATCCCAGGAACCCATGTTAGAGAAAGTCAGGTCCTACTGAAGTGTTACAGAGGAGTAGGCTGCAATAGAGTCCCCTGCTGGCAGTCTGTTTGGAGGCAAGTGGCAGGAAACAGCACGGAGTAATACAGATGTCAGGAAAGGGGTGCTAACTTACAGACCTGCGTCTCAGCAGCTGCATGTGAGGCCCTCCTCTACTACCTGCCCTGAGCTGCATGACATCAGGGCACTACCCATTGTTATGCATGAAGAAGGGGAAGGCCTGTATTTACTGAATGCCACACACCATGGTAGGAAGGCCCTTGCCTGCCTTCATATTTGCCATGACAGTATGTGGAAGCAGAGAGTGCTGTGAATGTAGGTGTTATTAGAAATAAAAAAAAAAAAATAGAAAAGTGTGAGGAGTAGCTTGAAGATTTTATAAGCCAACCCTCAGATACCCCAGTGTGACTCATAATTCTTTAGTTTACATCACTTGTTCCTTGTTGTTATCCCAGGTAGAATATAAGAAGGTAATCTGTACCAACAAAGTCACATCATCACCCTTCATGTTGGCTAAGCATTTAATATGTTTAACTCAGCTTCAATGCTTATTGAATAATTGGAATAACTTACTGAGTAATTTAAGTAATATTGAATACCTAGAATTGATTCTAACTATCAGCTTTTTTAAAAAGTATAAAAAGACAATTAAGTGACTTTTTCTTTTTTTTCCATAATTTTATTGAGAAACAAATAGCAATGAGACAGTTTCAAATCAAATTGGTAGGACAGTTCCAATAATTAACACATTGCATACTCTCTTCCTAGTGGTTATTTGCTGTACAAGTTGCAGACATGATATCCTATTTACAAACACCTTTAGAACAAATCCCTCTATTAAGAGGATGTAACTATATATCTATCCTAACCATTTTGAATACACAGATACAAAATGGACATTCATCTGTATATCCTTTTTTGTTTAGTTCCATCATTTGAATATTATAGGTGTGTTAACTCAGCAAAATATTCTAAAAGAGTCCAGTAGTCCATAATAGTATTGGGTCTTCCGCTTGACTGGCAGTGTCAGAAATTGTTGACAAGAGTCCCCTACAATGACTTTCTCAAGGTCATGTAGTAATTGGTATCTGAAAAGAAAGTGTCCCTTAAACTTCATGGTCTTGCTTCAAGTGAGATGAGCCTGTGGTACTTTATCCCCCATAAGAAAAGCTTCATCCTAGAGCAGACGCTACGTCTGAACTCTGGGAGTCTGCTCCTTCCATGTGAACAGCAAGAAGGAGCTGTGGAAATGCTCTTGCGCAAGAGATAAACCTAGTAGGGCCCGCCGTCCTGTCGCTTCCTTTCCTCACAGTACATGATTTAGACTCAGGAGCATATTTGATGTTTTCCCTCCTTCATCTTTGGGAAAAATTATATTACTGTCAAAAAATTGACACTAGTTAGAGTTGGAGCTATTCCTACCAATTTTGCAATCTTCTGTAGTATCTCTCTGCCAGACTACAGAATCGTGCATCATCCAGACATCTGAATGGTCCCTGATGCATATTTTAAGGAAATCCTCCCGCTGTTATCTTCAATTCACTTGATATGAAGGGCTCAGTCATAAGACTGATGGGGCGGTTTCCACAGGGAGCCACCACGTGAAGTTGCATCTGATTAGAAGCACCGCCCAATTAAAATGAAGTCAATTTTGAAAGGCAACACAGAAAAAATACAATACTCCTCATAATATTAGACCCTGCCAGAGGTGAAGTTTGAAAGAAACCCAGAAAGACAGACTTCTTATAGAACAAATGATTTAGCTCTTTTTATTGAAAACTGATCATGCACCAGTAGACCAAGGTACAGAAATGGCTTAATTTTTCCAGCTTCCTCAACCTCTAGCAGACACTATGCAGAGCAAGCTTCAGAGGCAGCTTGCATAGTTGCAAACCTCTGTGAAATGCAGGATTCGAGTCACACACTTTGGCGAGTCCTGTTCCTAATGGGATGGGCTGCTCCCAGCACACAAGGCCTTGTGCCAACCACTGATTGAATCACTCCACATTACCGAGCAGCGCTTACTGCCCACTTGATGCAGGCTACGCAAAGATGTAGTAGTGCCCTAACGGAGTGCACTGCTTCTGCTGCCTGGCCATCCTTCTGGGCTACTAACTCCACTTAGAGTTGTACTGGAGAGGTATTCAAGACACAGAGGCTGCAGGAAGGGGGTTGGCTAATCCCTTCTAGCAGAGTGGGGACAGAGAGTGACCCGGAAAACTTGCCATCTAAAAGATTAATACAAAAAAGTCAATGAAATGGGACTTGGTGGACTGAATGTCACCACATGGCGACCAGCAGACTCACGAGCTCTGGCCTAATGCTTGCATACCATCTCCATCTGTGCTGCACTGAGAGCCAGCCCCTCATTGTACACAGAAGGCTTTGCGTAGCGTCTCAACATCAGGTCGGTTTGTGGGCTGAGGTCTTGAGCGGAGTCTTGGAGTCAGTGTCCTGTGGCCCTTTAGGGAAGGAATTAGGTAGTTATAGCAGTGCTTATATCAAATGCACGCTTAGCCTAGTCTACCAACTACAGTTTCCCACATGGAAGCAGGATTCAGTAATCAAATATCCCTTCATTAAAAATAACACTGTCACCATTTTGTGGCCTGTGGCAGTGGCGAAAAATTGCCATTTCAGTTAAAACAGGCAGAAGGTTACTCATTTTGGAGTTCAGGTATAATTCATTTCCAGGTACCTTCCTGTGAAATGTTTACTGGCTAGGTCCCAGAACCTGTAGTACACTCACAGGAACACTTCTCCCTTTTTGCTACTTGTACATCTTTATTTCCCTGTTTTTCATATCCTTTAAATCCCATTTCAAGCACTGCATCATGCATAAAATCAACCCATCTTTTTGTTCTTGTATTATATACAGTAATATATTCTTTGACAGATTCTAAGATCTCTGAAGATAAGACCAATGCTATCTTTATTGTTGTATCTCCTTTTCTTTGGTGTGTCTTTGTTTTTGTTTTCGCAGTACTGGGGATTAAACTCAGGACCTTGTGCTTGCCAAGGAAACACATATTCTGCTGAGCTATCTCCCGGCCCCTTATTGTTGTATCTCCTATTTTATGTGACAGTGTTTTGCATTGTCCCTTTGACTGAAAAGATGGATAGATCTGTGGTTTTGCATGGAAGGACACATAGAAAAACAGAGGACTAAATAAAGTAACCTGGAACCCTTGAACGATGTTGCCTCACGTGACAATAATGTACCCATTCCACTGATTGCATGTTTAGTGATCAGGTAAACATGCAGAGTCAAAAGGAGAAATTGTTTCTTCTTCAAAATTAAAAAAGGAGAAACATTGCAGAATGAGCCATTTTTGAGCCATAAGTGTACTTAACTTGAAGGATTTAATGAGTAGGAAACATTCAGGCTTGCCTTGAGATTACAAGAACACAGGTGAGTTATTTTCTTGGTATTGTTACCAGGGCTCCAGGACATTTCATTTCAAGCACCAGGATCCATAATCCAGGTCAGTAAATTAGATTGTCTGCTTCAAACAGCAGGTCCTGTGTACCCCTTGTGCTTTGTCGTCTAACACCCTCTTCTTTGAATAAGTTTTTATCAACTGAAAAATGACCCTTAAGCCAACAGGTAATGGAGTTTTAGAAATGCCTTAAATATATTCCATAACAAAGACTGAGATCTTTATTTTCCTGCACAGCGTACTTGAACCTCACCCAGACTTCCAAAATATATTCAACTGTGGAAGAAAAAAAAAAAAAAGACTAAAACAAAAAATATAAACTGTCTGCCGGCTGACTTTTGTTAAGAAAGTAGTCTATTTTAGTGGGCAGTGATTTAATTACATACATCCAGCTAGGATGGTTTTAAACTTCTTTGTTGAGTAGTAGAGCAGGAAATGCTTTAAGTTGAGTGGTTTACTAATTTTTTTATAAACTAAATAGAGTTGAATTTGCAACATGATATGCTTAATTAGATCTTGACTAGTACTTTAAAATTCCATCTAAATATCAACAACCTAAATGTTTTGTGTTTTCTTCATATGCTTTCAAAAAATACTCATTTTGTACTGCATGGTAATTATGGATTTAATATTTTGTACATTATGAAATGAGACTAATTTTACTCATTATTTTGTTCCCTGCATTTTGGTAATGAGACATTAATATTTTTGATTTCAGAATGTTCAAGTCGTCATAATGGCTATTGGAGCAAAATTCCTGAGTAAAAGCCTCATTAATAAGAATGAAAACACCCTTTTGTGTTAGTTTCCTGTTAAGTTTATTTGAGCTTTTCTTCTGTTTTCTTTATAGTGCGGGAGTCGGCCGGACTGGTTGTTTCATTGTAATAGATGCCATGTTGGAAAGAATAAGGCATGAAAAAACTGTAGATATTTATGGCCATGTAACTTTAATGAGAGCCCAGAGGAATTACATGGTTCAAACAGAAGACCAATACATCTTCATCCACGACGCACTGTTAGAAGCAGTGACTTGTGGAAATACCGAAGTGCCAGCTAGAAACTTGTATGCCTACATCCAGAAGCTGACACAGATAGAGACGGGGGAGAACGTCACGGGGATGGAGCTCGAATTCAAGGTACGGGGCGGAAGGCGACGGGGCCGTTGAGGAGCAAGGCTTTCGGGGACTGCCTAGGAGGGAGGCTTTCAGGATAACCTTTCAGATTTTGAAGAAGATTCATTTGACCTTCTTTTCAAGTGTTGGGTCAGGAAGCCCTTTTTGCTTCTCTATTCTTTGCTTTGTAACAATGCCTGGAGCCTTTTTCTGTCTTAATGGACAGATTGCATACTCAGAGCATAATATTGGACACTTCAGTAGGCTATGTGAAGCGGTTAGGTAGCAGCGGAAAGCAGTGAGATGTGCGTGGTTATTTCAAAGTCAACAAAAGATCTATATCTAAAGAGAATATCTTAGTACTATTGCATCCCGATTATCTAAAATTATCTTTATTGATTTTCTTCATCTCAACAGCGTCTAGCCAGCTCAAAAGCTCACACCTCAAGATTCATCAGTGCCAATCTTCCATGTAATAAATTCAAAAATCGCCTTGTTAATATTATGCCATATGAGTCCACAAGGGTATGCCTACAGCCTATCCGCGGAGTAGAAGGATCTGACTACATCAATGCCAGTTTTATTGATGGATACAGGTATACACTGTTGTTCCACTGACAACACAATGCCTTGGTATTTACATGTGCCCTAGATTCGTAACCGGAGTTTCCCTTCAATTCAAAGCCATTTTTTGGTCCACAAGTCAGCATGCAGTCCCTTGCTATTTGTCAGTTTTTATTTGGGATCTAGGAAGCAATAGTTACGGGAATAGTTCTCTTTCAGACACCATTTGGATTTTTAAGGCTGCTTATCACCATATTTCATAGCATTAATAAAGTATGCAAGCATCATTTCTAGAAAATAAAGATGTACAGCTGTTCATGATTTGTATGACCCATGAAACTGAGCCATTAGCTTTATACTAAAATTTAAAAATGAAAATGATATACACTACCATATTAATGAGGAAATTTTTGTGAAATCCCCCAAATGTAGTGAGTGCACTTCTTTGATTTTGTAACCTTCATTAGTGCACGTTTGCAGGATAGTGACCTTTTTGTGGGGAGTTAGTACATATACACAGTGTATCTTAATTCTATTCGTGTCCCCTTTAACTCCACTCTCTCCCCATCCCTTCATGGAAATTTGTGGCAGCTGTGTTAATAACATGCTCTTTCATCGGGCTTGCCGTTCAGCTATCAAGTGAGCTTTTACGTGTTCTTACGCTGCATTAACATGTTCTTTCCCTCTGTTTAATTCAGGCAGCAGAAAGCATACATCGCTACGCAGGGGCCCTTGGCGGAGACCACGGAAGACTTCTGGCGCATGCTCTGGGAGCATAATTCCACCATAGTTGTGATGCTTACCAAGCTGCGTGAGATGGGAAGAGTGAGTGTGTTTTCTCCTGGAACATTCTCGTGAAAGGAAGGGGGATTTCATGTAGCAACTCCAGCACTGGCCTCATTTCTTTGAAACACAGTGCTCTGCTCACAGCTGGATCACTTTTTACTCGCTGGTGTCTAATTTGCAGGGTCACATCCAGCACTTAGATTTGCATATTTTGAGGAAAGATCTACGCTTTGGTCCTGATGAAGTAAGATTATAGTGCTAAAGAAGTCATCAGGAGTCCCTGTTTGATTCATGGCGCTCATGTGTTCTTATGTCTTCTACTCTATCCAGACTGGTCTCTTAAGTAAATGGGCTGTTCTTTCCCTAGATGAAGAAAGAACTTTATTGTCATTGCTGGGGAAAATTTTTAAAGATGTAATCTGGTAACCTCAGGTGTTTTTTTAAGAATTATTATGAAATGCACATAAAATAGTGTTAAAGAAACCTAGAGGCCTGTCACTTAGGTTCGCTTCATGCAAACATTTCGCAGTATTTACTAGAGATATTTTCTTCTTTGTGCAAGTTAAAGGCTAGATGCACTGTCAACATCCAAGTAGAAAAGTAATTGACTTGTTCTGATTTGGCACTGGCCTTCGGCAGGGCTTACTCAGTCATTAAAACTGCCTGGCCCACAAGTTCTTCAATTGACAAATGCGATTGAAGATCAATTCAAAGGTTTCTTTCTGCATTCACACTGAATATTCTTTTTATTCCTAACCGCAGTGGTACACCACCTTTCTGCAGAAGTATGGGACTTGACATGGCTAGCTTTGCCTAAAGACTGATATAATTATTTGGATAAATTGTACATAAAAGTTACCTACCCTGTCAAAGAATTAAGATCCATTGATGTAATAGTAATCCGCTACTGCATACCAGCTACTGTGCCAGATGACTCTGACACATATCGAACCAGATGATTTTCCTTTAGGATCTTAGGATTTCAAAGAGAAAATGAGCCACATGCAAACAGAACTGCCCAAGCTTTGGAGTTTTATTCATTGTATGATGACATCTTCTTTATACTTTAGTTTAATACTAATTCTTTGTTTTAGGAGAAGTGTCACCAATACTGGCCAGCAGAACGATCTGCAAGATACCAGTATTTTGTTGTAGATCCCATGGCTGAGTACAACATGCCACAGTACATCCTAAGGGAATTCAAGGTCACGGATGCCAGGGTGAGTTGGGGCAGGCTCAAGGTCTTAACAGTGAGCTGAAAATTCATCTCAAATATACTTCTTTGGGAGAAACATTTGCAAAGTGACCACAATCCCATATATATGCAATCTTCCTGTCTGTCAGGCCTTCTCATAAACCCAGATTTGGCTTACATTCAAGCTTAACATCTGGCAGCCCAACTTTGGGGCTGCACTTTGTGAATGTTTTTTCTGGAAAGCGTTTACTGATTGGTTGGCTCTGTGTACATTTACCTTCTCAGCTCATTCTCTTTGGAGCTTCTTTGATTTCTTCATTACTTGAGGCTGTAAATATGTTGTTGTTTTGCAAAGCCCTTTAGGTCATGTGGGCTAGGAGGTTAATTTGGAATGATTTTAAAACTGCACAGCAAGTGGCATTCTTTAGAAGAATCTGACAAGCTCTGCACATTCTAATTTGATTCCTGGCATGGTTTATTCCTCTGTGTGCTAACGCGTCTCTCCGTGAGAGCTTGCACCTATGACCCTTGTTGGCTAATTTTCATTCTGAATTTCTTATCAAGATTGCTGCGTCCAAGGTTCAGTCCTGATGTAAGCTGTGCTGTGCACATACATTAGTATCTTTGCCTTTGGCCACGCTCAAATCATGATTACAAGCACATCTTCAGAAAGAATGGGTCAGCTCAAAGCCCTGCTTTATTTTTTAAACTCTCACAGGGAGTGGGTTGAATAAAACTCCAGGGTAGAGCCATTTTCTTGTTCCACTGTTTATTTTGTTTTCAGGAAAGTGGCTTCCTTCAGTCTCAGGTTTGAAGATAGTCAGCTAATCCCCAAAGCCCAACGCTAACTGTTGACCTAAAAGTCACAGAAAATGGCTAGCAGAAGGGTTGGCCCAGGTGACAGACCTGGTGATACCAAAAAAGTCAGAAGTATTAACTACCCAAAGGTGATTGTACTCAAGGCAGCCATTAAGTCTCTAGGTCTCATTTTTGAGTTGTACAAGCACGCCTTGGTGACCTGCCCGACTGCTTCTAAAAAATGCCCTTTCAGAATTTAAAGCTAGGTGTGTGAGTAAAAATCCCAAACACAGTGCACCAACTGTTTCCAATGGTAGAAACCAAGAGATAGGCTCCAGCGGCAGCACAAACACCTTCCCTGCCTCGTCCATCCCCAAATGAAATCTGATCACAATAGCCAGAAAGGAAGACGGAAGCAGGAGCTTGCCCACGTCTTTAAAACCCTCCTTGCTTGTATAACTTTCTGAGCTAGCACACCACTGCCTGTCTGGGCTCCTGGTGTGTTTCTAATCTCAGCTCCCTGATGCAGAAAGCAAGGGCACTTGAGAATACAGTCTTGTTATACAGGTAACCTTCAAATGGAATCAGGGGGTCTCACCAGCAAATGTAAGAGTTCATTGGTGTGCCCTCTTGCTGCTGTTATAAGCAATTGTGGTTAGAAGTGAAGTCCCAAGGACATTCATGGAAGGTTGAGGCTCACCTTACCTAGTCTCCGGCTTTTCTTCTTGGGCTTTCCAAACCTTTCCCAGAAACGGAAGCAAGCCATGCATCCGTGGTAACCGTCCTCAGGTTAGTTCTGGAGCCAGGCAGCTATTTCTGTAGTTCTCTGAGTTCTCACACTATTGGTGTGCTCTTCGTGTTTCACCTCTGGCCCCAGATGATACCAGTATCTGCCCCATGTGAACCCCAAAGGGGGTTGATGGGTGCTCACCTGGAGTTGAGCCAACCCCTCTTCTCAGTAGGACCCACAATTGCTCTTTTCTGGTAGGGTTCCTTCCCTTCCCGTTTATAAAATTTCAGAATCAGAAGTGTCTTCCTGTCTTCATGGGTCTGAGTAGCCTTCCCTAATCCCATTAGACAGATTCATCTTACAGCTGGTTCATTTTTTTTCATCTTTGGATTGTCTGTGTAAATGCCCCACACATCTACTTAAGTCTGGTGGCCAGCCCAGAACAACCCTTGTGCAGACAGGGTCATTTATTTAGTCTCTTTCAGGGATGTTTCACTCCCTGCTGAGTGGCAGAGTCATGTGGCATGTGCTTTGTCTCCTGCTATGGTTAGGAACTGCACGCCACTGAGGCCTATGAGGTTAGCAGGTAAATGCCAACTACCTGTGTGGGATAGTTAGTGTAGTTAGTTTAGTTTATGTCCTTTAAATGTGAAATCAAAATTGAAAGGTATAACACAACTAAATGGAAAGCAAGAACTTAAGGATTAAACAATGAAGACAGGGCAGGGAGAAAAGCTAGGAAACATGGCAGGGCAAAACCGTACATTTATATACACAAGATGGTTAAGGCAATGATCCTGAGAATCTCTGAAACTAGCAGTGAAGTAGTAGGATTCTCACCCTGACTAAGTACAAATGCTGATACCTGTGATCTAAGCAACTGCACTGAAAACAGTGCCATGCTTGGAATCCCTGTCATTCTGGTCTTCTAAAAGCATACTGCTTCTAATGTCATATCAATTACTGCTATACTTTATCTCAAGTAAATGTTTTTTTTTAAAGTAATAAATGAAAACAAGAGGCAAGAAAAAAATGACGTAGGACTGTCCTGCTCAATATAATCATTTGTCATTTGACAATGCTAGAAATAAGCCAGCACTGCAGATGTGATTTGATGACAGTAGGGAAAATCACAGCGCGCCTACTCTCAAAATGAAAAAATTATTAGATTCTGAGAGTTTTTAGATAGAAATTATATTTGGAAGAACATGGACCCTGATCAGTGGTTCCGAACAAAACCTTCATATCTCAGAAGCACTTGCTAATAAGCAGTATGGCTACTTGCTGTCAAAAATCCTAAGTTCTTAACAGTTCATTGCGAGAGAATGGACTTGTAACAGAAATAAATTTAGATATAGATAGTAGCAATACTGGATGAGGTGCAAAGGTTTCTAATAAAATGCATTTCTAACTTCTTGTGCCCCAATTATCTCTGGAAAACCTTGCGTGTGACTGCTTCTGCGCTCTGTGCGCTCGGGGAGTCCCTGCGGCACCCGCTTTGTGACTCTGTACATGGCTTCCCCTCCAAAGGATGGCCAGTCCCGGACGGTGCGGCAGTTCCAGTTCACGGACTGGCCAGAGCAAGGAGTGCCTAAGTCGGGAGAAGGGTTCATTGACTTCATCGGCCAAGTCCATAAAACAAAGGAACAGTTTGGCCAAGATGGACCCATTTCAGTCCATTGCAGGTGAGTTGAGGACCCAAAATCCCAGCTGTCCACTCGTGATTCATGCGGTAACGGCTTTGCAGACAAATGTTAGTATGTATTCACTTTTTATATAAGTTTGTCACAGAGAATCCACACAATTGAAAGTCTCAGCGATGGATTGTGTCACCAATGAACTATTTCTCTTTCCATAAAGTGAAAATAATCGGAGAAAAATTTTCATCCCTAAAATTTACCTCTTGTGGAAAAAACAAACTGCCAGGCGCAGGCCGGGGTTCTATCCCTGGGCCTGTAGTGCCAGCCCCACCCCCAGGGCGTGATTCAGACTGGGCGTGGTGGTGCACGCCTGTAATCCCCACTCTTGGGAGGCTGTAAACAGGTGGATCAATAGGAATTTGATCTAGTAGTGAGACCCTGAACACCCTATTGACCCTTTCTAAAAAGAAAAAACAACCTGGGCTGGGGGGAATAACTCAGCAGTCTAAGCACCTGCCTGGCAAGCACATGGACCCAAGTTCGATCCTCAGTAGCATATGGCAAGTCAGCCCTGGAAAAACAAGTATGGTGGTACAGGCCTGTAATTCCAGCACTGGGGAGGCTAAGACAGGAGGATTAGTATGAGTCTCAGCTGCATAGTGAGACCCTATACCAAATGAATAAAGAAATAGTTTTATTTTTAATGTAGAAAGATAAAACTAAATTTTTCCAGGAATGGTTGGGATAGCCCCCATCATGCTTTATGCAATCATTTCTTCCTTGCTTTGCTTTCCTAGTATTGTACTGATAAGTATCTTTCTACATCATTTTCTTTTGTGTTTATTTTCTTACGAGAACCATAAATAGCTATCAAGCCTTAATGACAGTACTAATTCTTGCCAGTCAATAAGCGATTAGAATGGTACCTCAGTTAAAAATGCAATTTGCTTAAAAATTGTTGCTACATCAGAAAATGAAGCACCTTCAATTTAATTATTTCTAGAGCATTTTATAATTTAAGTCATTGAAGTTAATAGAAATACCAAGTAAATGGTTTTAAACATTCACCATGAATTTAGTGCTTTAAGTTGCTCTGCAAAACTCTTATAGTAAAGGAAATTTACCTAATTTTGTTGAAGCTACTATATTTTAGACCTTCAGCTACTTTAAAGCTCAACGTTTACTGTTCAAAGAAAAGTTTGATTTTGCTTCAGTGCTTCAAAAATATAGTTCATAATGATAGAAGTGGCAAGATCTCAAAATGGGAAATACATTGCACTGGCTCTCCAAGACTTGTTCTAGGCTTAATTTTATTACAATATTTTGTGACAATAGGAAAATGTCTTTGGTCTTTATTTTTCTCTACTGGTCTGTAAGAGCCTTCCTAGTAAGTCTCTGTTGATCAGTCATGTAATGTGAGAAACAGTGTTTGTATGCAGATTTCTTTGCTGAATTATCAAAAATCCAGTATTCAACCAAAGCTCATATGGAATGAGTCACACCCACTGAAGTCTTCAAAGTCCATGTTATATACTGAGTCTGAAGCACTTGCTATTTCTTTTAATTTTCCACATAATTCTTTTAATTGACCAAATGCTATTTGAAACCTTTCTAATGTGATCTGTAGGGAAAAATGTTAATGTATATTTTTAGTTCCAGCTTTCCCATAAGTATAGTATGTGTTACTTCTCATCACTTATGTCATTACAGAATGATTGAAACACATTTTTAGTATAAATGCTATGGAATATTAACATATCTTACATTCCTTTGTATTTTTAGGTATTTTTGTCTTAGTTTGAAAATACCTCTCATCTAATTTGTATCCTATTGCACTAATGTGATTAAGTCAGTAAATTCAAAAGCTGTAAGGTCAGTGCTTGTTCTTTTCTTGAAAATACTTAGAAAGTCAGCAACATGGTATTTGTTGTCACATGTTGGCAAACAAATCAAGGAAAGATGGACTCTGGAATCCCTGGACTGCTCCACAAAGGCTTATAAATCCTAGTCTCTCATGACTGAGAGGAACTTAACGGAAGCCTTGACTGCTGTCGGACATCCGTAGCTACTTGTTAAAGATTGCTCGTGGATGTTAAAGCCCCACTTAGCATTTCTGCTTAGACTGTTCAGAAATTACAGCATATGAAGGGACACTGTTTGTAGACGCCTGTGAGCTACGTCGCCTTCCATTTTCCACAGGCTTCACCCAAGCATTACACATGCCATTTAATTAGGAGCCAAAAATGTAGGTATTTTTCAGATTATTCACTGTTTTTCTCATTAAACATCTAGATGCTTTTCTCCTTCTGAACTGTACAGGGCTATGAATTAATTTTCATTCTGCTGTGCTGGAATTATCTTAAAATAGTAGACAAGAGAAAGAAACTCAAAATCTTGCTAACATACTATAAAAAGTTCAGGGGATTTTAGAACTAATCACCTAAAATGGTGGATAAATATAGAGCTTAGTGGCTCTTAGCTGTGCTTTTAGAGATCTCTTTAAGAAACTGTTGAAAGTTATATTCATAGAACAGGAAAAAGTGACATTTCCACAATCCCTATATAT